CTAGCGGGCAGCGGGCACCGCTGTATTCGAGGGTCGGTCCATTTGATTATATGCGTAAGATCCTGCCGCTCCCGCTCCCGCTCCGCTGCCCGCAAAATTCGAGGCCGAGGCCTAATTAATATATCTGCTATCTACTTCCTCGAGTTAAAATGAAGCCATGTGTGGAAACAATATCACTATTAAATTACAACTGTGTTATGTCATTTATTGAAATTTTAAAAGTCATACATATTTCATTGGATATTTCAATCCATCTAAGTGAAATATATAAAATAGAAATAGTAAGTAAAAAGACTATACAAATAATTTTGTTATATTATTTATACGTATAAAAGGAAGTATTTCATTTTGTTATCAATATTAACTTAAAAGATCACTTTTTAGTTATACACAGATTGATGAAGATCCTTCTCTCTTTTAACAGTTTAGAAGACTCATTCATAAAAGAGATCATTCATAAAAAAATATGAGATTTTTATATTAATCTGTTCCTCTTTGATAACAAAATTCACTGATATAAAATATAAAGAAAGAAAACTTTTATATTTCTTTTATCAAGTTTAGTTATTAATTTAACAGTTTGATATTAAAGTCACCTCGACTTATTTGGAACAGAATTATTGGACTCAATAAAAAATCATTATTCTTATAAATTAAGGAAAAATATAAAAGAGTATCATTTTTTCCAATTTGTAAACAAATTTTACATAAAATTATATTTGAGTACCTAAAGTGGACTTTTATTTCCAATAAGTATTTTAATCATGAGAATTAATAAAGAATATACACACATGTTTATGTAAAACATTATTAATTATTATGTTAGATTTATATATGTTATATAAATTGAAATATTTGTTTACAAATAAATCATGTCTGATTGAAGATGATGATACAAGTCTGTGCCAAATTTCATCAAAATCGTTTGAGAGGTTTAAGCGGGAAAGCGTAACAGACAGACAGACAGAGTTACTTTCGCATTTATAATATTAGTTGTGATTGACTCCCCTCCCCGTACCCCAGTGACGCTTACATGGAGCCTACATCGCATGCTGGCTAGCTGAGCGCGGTGAGCGGCAACCACGCGACTTTTTTCTAATACTTGCATATTTAAACTCGTGATATCTTCCGAATGAAATGTCCGAATTGAATAATTCCAAGAGTTATAAAAAGGTACTGAAGCCGTCTTGAATATAAAGTAATTTATTTTGATAAGGATTAATACCAAGTTACAAATAAAGAGCCTTTTCAAGCGGCGGATAATAAATTAAATTTTTAGAATAAAAAACCGCTTACTGTGACATAACTACATATAATATTTAGACATATGCTGTCGCGACACTTTTTGTAGATGATGATGAGTTCTGCAAAGTCGTAGTAAATGATTTGGTTCTATCATCAATAGTTTTCGCAGCGCACGCGACGTAAGGAATTTTTCAGATCATTTTTTTACACCTTGGGTTACATTATTGGAGTTTTAGTAAGGATCCCTAATTTTTATTTAAATATAATATAGCTTATATTACTCGGGAATAATGTAGCTTTCCCAAGGTGAAAGAACTTTTGAAATCGGTTCAGTAGTTTCGGAGCCTATTCATAACAAATAAACAAACAATTCTTTCCTCTTTATTAGTATAGATGATAAGAATTGTTTTATTGGAATATAAACTATATCATCATAGAAATAAGAACATTAATTGAATGAGCAACTTTCTTTTCAAAATAATGCCCTTTGAATTATAAGTGACAAATTGGGTATTTTTTGCTTCACTTACAATTCCGTAGCTTTTAGATTATGAAAATATTAAAATTAATTGCTGGAAATAATTAAAATAAAGAGTTCGAAAAGTTATTTATAATTAAATTGTTTGTACTTTGCTAATACATACATTCATTCTTAATTAATATAGTTGTCTATACCTATATTTTATTATCTTCTAGCAAGGCGCCCCGGCTTCGCACGCGTTTAATGCTTATATTTAATACACTAAACAAAAACTGTGAACATTGTATATAAACATAGCGACCCGGTCCGGTTTCGCACGGGCAAAAGATCTACGTTATATACTGTAAAGAGCCATATAGATCTATATTGAATTAAGTGTATTTAACTACTTTTTGAATAAAGATTGACGCTGTAAATTAATAAATAAATAAATAAAATAAAATAAACCTTCCTATTCAATTACCCTATCTAGTTAAAAAAATCGCATTAAAATATTTCGTGTAGTTTTACATATTTAAGCATACATAGGGATTTTGGAACATGAAAGCGACTTTGTTTTATACTATGTAGTGATATTAAATTATATATATGTACCTTCCTCTTTAAATACACAATCTTTTAAAAAGCCACATCAAACTCCTTTGCGTAGTTTAAAAGATTTAACCATACAAGGGAATATAGAAACAGAGAAAGCGATTTTGTTCCATACTATGTATGTATGTGGAGATATTAAATGATTTCTCTTCGGTTTCTATCAAATTTTATCCAATCTCATAATCGCAGTTCTTATTCAGCAGTATGAATCTTGAATTTAGTTAATATTTATTTATAATAGACAGACACACTTACTGAGTAATGTAAGGCCTCGGCCTCGAATTTTGCGGGCAGCGGAGCGGCGGCGGCGGCGGCACGGAAACGCATACTGTTCTCCAAACTAGCGGGCAGCGGGCACCGCTGTATTCGAGGGTCGGTCCATTTGATTATACGCGTAAGATCCTGCCGTTCCCGCTGCCGCTCCCGCTGCCGCTCCCGCTGCCGCTCCCGCTGCCGCTCCCGCTGCCGCTGCCGCTCCCGCTGCCGCTCCCGCTGCCGCTCCCGCTGCCGCTCCCGCTGCCGCTCCCGCTGCCGCTCCCGCTGCCGCTCCCGCTCCCGCTAGCGCTGTCGCTGCCGCTGCCGCTGCCGCTCCCGCTGCCGCTCCCGCTGCCGCTCCCGCTGCCGCTCCCGCTGCCGCTCCCGCTGCCGCTCCCGCTGCCGCTCCCGCTGCCGCTCCCGCTGCCGCTCCCGCTCCCGCTCCCGCTGTCGCTGCCGCTGCCGCTGCCGCTCCCGCTGCCGCTGCCGCTGCCGCTCCCGCTGCCGCTCCCGCTCCCGCTGTCGCTGCCGCTGCCGCTGCCGCTCCCGCTGCCGCTCCCGCTGCCGCTGCCGCTGCCGCTCCCGCGCCTTAGGCCTTAGGCCTCGGCCTCGAATTTTGCGGGCAGCGGAGCGGCAGCGGCGGCGGCACGAAAACACATACATTTCTCCAAAATAGCGGGCAGCGGGCACCGCTGTATTCGAGGGTCGGTCCATTTGATTATATGCGTAAGATCCTGCCGCTCCCGCTCCCGCTCCGCTGCCCGCAAAATTCGAGGCCGAGGCCTAATTAATATATCTGCTATCTACTTCCTCGAGTTAAAATGAAGCCATGTGTGGAAACAATATCACTATTAAATTACAACTGTGTTATGTCATTTATTGAAATTTTAAAAGTCATACATATTTCATTGGATATTTCAATCCATCTAAGTGAAATATATAAAATAGAAATAGTAAGTAAAAAGACTATACAAATAATTTTGTTATATTATTTATACGTATAAAAGGAAGTATTTCATTTTGTTATCAATATTAACTTAAAAGATCACTTTTTAGTTATACACAGATTGATGAAGATCCTTCTCTCTTTTAACAGTTTAGAAGACTCATTCATAAAAGAGATCATTCATAAAAAAAATATGAGATTTTTATATTAATCTGTTCCTCTTTGATAACAAAATTCACTGATATAAAATATAAAGAAAGAAAACTTTTATATTTCTTTTATCAAGTTTAGTTATTAATTTAACAGTTTGATATTAAAGTCACCTCGACTTATTTGGAACAGAATTATTGGACTCAATAAAAAATCATTATTCTTATAAATTAAGGAAAAATATAAAAGAGTATCATTTTTTTCCAATTTGTAAACAAATTTTACATAAAATTATATTTGAGTACCTAAAGTGGACTTTTATTTCCAATAAGTATTTTAATCATGAGAATTAATAAAGAATATACACACATGTTTATGTAAAACATTATTAATTATTATGTTAGATTTATATATGTTATATAAATTGAAATATTTGTTTACAAATAAATCATGTCTGATTGAAGATGATGATACAAGTCTGTGCCAAATTTCATCAAAATCGTTTGAGAGGTTTAAGCGGGAAAGCGTAACAGACAGACAGACAGAGTTACTTTCGCATTTATAATATTAGTTGTGATTGACTCCCCTCCCCGTACCCCAGTGACGCTTACATGGAGCCTACATCGCATGCTGGCTAGCTGAGCGCGGTGAGCGGCAACCACGCGACTTTTTTCTAATACTTGCATATTTAAACTCGTGATATCTTCCGAATGAAATGTCCGAATTGAATAATTCCAAGAGTTATAAAAAGGTACTGAAGCCGTCTTGAATATAAAGTAATTTATTTTGATAAGGATTAATACCAAGTTACAAATAAAGAGCCTTTTCAAGCGGCGGATAATAAATTAAATTTTTAGAATAAAAAACCGCTTACTGTGACATAACTACATATAATATTTAGACATATGCTGTCGCGACACTTTTTGTAGATGATGATGAGTTCTGCAAAGTCGTAGTAAATGATTTGGTTCTATCATCAATAGTTTTCGCAGCGCACGCGACGTAAAAAATTTTTCAGATCATTTTTTTACACCTTGGGTTACATTATTGGAGTTTTAGTAAGGATCCCTAATTTTTATTTAAATATAATATAGCTTATATTACTCGGGAATAATGTAGCTTTCCCAAGGTGAAAGAACTTTTGAAATCGGTTCAGTAGTTTCGGAGCCTATTCATAACAAATAAACAAACAATTCTTTCCTCTTTATTAGTATAGATGATAAGAATTGTTTTATTGGAATATAAACTATATCATCATAGAAATAAGAACATTAATTGAATGAGCAACTTTCTTTTCAAAATAATGCCCTTTGAATTATAAGTGACAAATTGGGTATTTTTTCTTCACTTACAATTCCGTAGCTTTTAGATTATGAAAATATTAAAATTAATTGCTGGAAATAATTAAAATAAAGAGTTCGAAAAGTTATTTATAATTAAATTGTTTGTACTTTGCTAATACATACATTCATTCTTAATTAATATAGTTGTCTATACCTATATTTTATTATCTTCTAGCAAGGCGCCCCGGCTTCGCACGCGTTTAATGCTTATATTTAATACACTAAACAAAAACTGTGAACATTGTATATAAACATAGCGACCCGGTCCGGTTTCGCACGGGCAAAAGATCTACGTTATATACTGTAAAGAGCCATATAGATCTATATTGAATTAAGTGTATTTAACTACTTTTTGAATAAAGATTGACGCTGTAAATTAATAAATAAATAAATAAAATAAAATAAACCTTCCTATTCAATTACCCTATCTAGTTAAAAAAATCGCATTAAAATATTTCGTGTAGTTTTACATATTTAAGCATACATAGGGATTTTGGAACATGAAAGCGACTTTGTTTTATACTATGTAGTGATATTAAATTATATATATGTACCTTCCTCTTTAAATACACAATCTTTTAAAAAGCCACATCAAACTCCTTTGCGTAGTTTAAAAGATTTAACCATACAAGGGAATATAGAAACAGAGAAAGCGATTTTGTTCCATACTATGTATGTATGTGGAGATATTAAATGATTTCTCTTCGGTTTCTATCAAATTTTATCCAATCTCATAATCGCAGTTCTTATTCAGCAGTATGAATCTTGAATTTAGTTAATATTTATTTATAATAGACAGACACACTTACTGAGTAATGTAAGGCCTCGGCCTCGAATTTTGCGGGCAGCGGAGCGGCGGCGGCGGCGGCACGGAAACGCATACTGTTCTCCAAACTAGCGGGCAGCGGGCACCGCTGTATTCGAGGGTCGGTCCATTTGATTATACGCGTAAGATCCTGCCGCTCCCGCTGCCGCTCCCGCTGCCGCTCCCGCTGCCGCTGCCGCTCCCGCTGCCGCTCCCGCTGCCGCTCCCGCTGCCGCTCCCGCTGCCGCTCCCGCTGCCGCTCCCGCTCCCGCTGTCGCTGCCGCTCCCGCTCCCGCTCCCGCTGTCGCTGCCGCTGCCGCTGCCGCTCCCGCTGCCGCTCCCGCTGCCGCTCCCGCTGCCGCTGCCGCTGCCGCTCCCGCTGCCGCTCCCGCTGCCGCTCCCGCTGCCGCTCCCGCTGCCGCTCCCGCTCCCGCTGTCGCTGCCGCTGCCGCTGCCGCTCCCGCTGCCGCTCCCGCTGCCGCTCCCGCTGCCGCTCCCGCTGTCGCTCCCGCTCCCGCTCCCGCTGTCGCTGCCGCTGCCGCTGCCGCTCCCGCTACCGCTGCCGCTGCCGCTCCCGCTGCCGCTCCGCTGCCCGCAAAATTCGAGGCCGAGGCCTAAGGCCTAAGGCCTCGGCCTCCAATTTTGCGGGCAGCGGAGCGGCAGCGGCGGCGGCACGAAAACACATACATTTTCTCCAAAATAGCGGGCAGCGGGCACCGCTGTATTCGAGGGTCGGTCCATTTGATTATATGCGTAAGATCCTGCCGCTCCCGCTCCCGCTCCGCTGCCCGCAAAATTCGAGGCCGAGGCCTAATTAATATATCTGCTATCTACTTCCTCGAGTTAAAATGAAGCCATGTGTGGAAACAATATCACTATTAAATTACAACTGTGTTATGTCATTTATTGAAATTTTAAAAGTCATACATATTTCATTGGATATTTCAATCCATCTAAGTGAAATATATAAAATAGAAATAGTAAGTAAAAAGACTATACAAATAATTTTGTTATATTATTTATACGTATAAAAGGAAGTATTTCATTTTGTTATCAATATTAACTTAAAAGATCACTTTTTAGTTATACACAGATTGATGAAGATCCTTCTCTCTTTTAACAGTTTAGAAGACTCATTCATAAAAGAGATCATTCATAAAAAAATATGAGATTTTTATATTAATCTGTTCCTCTTTGATAACAAAATTCACTGATATAAAATATAAAGAAAGAAAACTTTTATATTTCTTTTATCAAGTTTAGTTATTAATTTAACAGTTTGATATTAAAGTCACCTCGACTTATTTGGAACAGAATTATTGGACTCAATAAAAAATCATTATTCTTATAAATTAAGGAAAAATATAAAAGAGTATCATTTTTTTTCCAATTTGTAAACAAATTTTACATAAAATTATATTTGAGTACCTAAAGTGGACTTTTATTTCCAATAAATATTTTAATCATGAGAATTAATAAAGAATATACACACATGTTTATGTAAAACATTATTAATTATTATGTTAGATTTATATATGTTATATAAATTGAAATATTTGTTTACAAATAAATCATATATGTTCAACTTAAACACTATCCGTAAGTTTTAAAGTCTATATTTAAATTAAAATTTTGGCCATTATGAATATGTTTTTAATGCTAAGGAAGATACTTTGTATGTCACACGTATAATAATATTTTTCAATAACATTTTCAAGAACTAGCACTAGTCTATAATACACTGTAACACGATTCTTATATATAATTTTAAAGTAGTTTTGACGCACGCCGTACAAACAATTTCTCTCAATTTTCATTCTTAACGTAAGTCACATATCTTCTTATTAAACGTTTTCTTTAATGTCTTGAAGAGTTTCTAACAACTCAATATCTTTCTTTACACTGTGAATATTTTAGTTCGTGAGCCGACCTTACAGAGTAACAATGAATACTCTTCATGTTAAAGATATTTAAAGAGCATTTGAAATATATGATCGGAACTATTTTACGGTAAGGATACAGTATTTATTATGTATTATTTTCTTTGCACATTTAAATATAATAAAACTCTACATAGGTAACACTAATTACTCTTAAACTTGATAGTTAAATGACTTTTCATAGTTTATTTCTTTTAATTAAGTACAACTTTTCTATTCAGTTTGTTTGAAACTAGGTTTAGTATTTTTTATTTTATATCATATTATGGCTTCATTCACACTGAAATCGTGGATTATTTTTCCAATGTCAACGATTGTATTTGTTGGACGAATATAATTAGTTTGTAGAATGAAATGAAGGCGTTTATTTAATTTTAATTTTTGTTTTTTGAAAGACGACTACTTACATTTTAACAGCACTTACTAATTTATATCTTCATCGTAATACAAACGAGAAACCAGTTTGAGAATAACGTCATAATTTTTATTTTATTCATTTCTTTATAAATGTATGTCTTGTTTAAGTTTTAGTTTCAATATCTTGAACATATAACACCTCTGTACTGACACAAGTTATTTAATATAGCACATAGTTCTTGTAACAAACTCTTGGGTCAGTTTACATTGATTTTTGATCTTCATATTACAAACTGTGAGTCTTAAGCGTTATATTGTGTTGTAAACTATATGACTATTATCTTTGTTTCATATAAATCAAACTTATTTCTCTCATTTTAAGTAACGAGGTTAAAAGGAATATTAATTTCATTTGCATTTGGAATTATTATCAAGAAACTCCACCAGATGGTTAGAAACAAAAATAAAAAATAAATACGCTGTATTTATTTACTAATATAATATTGAACCATTATCATGACCTTAATACATATTTTCGGTATATATTTAATAATCTTAAAACGGATGGACAATAAACTGTAATGTAAATACGGGAACCAACTTCTCACCGAGGAATTAAAGAGTTTCAGACGAGATATTCAATTTCGGCAGAAAATATTATTAAAATGTAAATGTGGTTACATCTAAATGTAATTACAACTAATGAAATCGAGTTAGTTAAAATGATTTATGATATACAACAGTTAATATATGATAATAATATAAACAGTCAGTTCACGTACACATGAAACTTTATAAGAGTGAAGGAGTGACATTAAGATAGTAATACCTTTTGATGAACACATATTAGAAGGAGGTCATACGTACATACGTACAGTCATCAGTAATGTGAACAGAATAACGGAACTATGTTACATAATCTGTAACTGTTTTCATATCTTGTATCGACAAACGGACCAATGTAATTTATTAAAAGATCATTCCTTTCCTTGAAAAACAAATTCGATCGAAAGTAAAGCACTACGGATACGAAACAAAATGTTGAGTTGTATTCCATGAATATCTATGAAGCACTATTAATGTCCTGACTGATGCCAAATGACATTTATAAAAATTTTCTTCTATTCCAGTGAAAGTGTTTTAAATTCAATATCTACGGCTTTATTATATCCTGTTATAATACATAAGAGGTAGATATATATTGTTTTTATTTCACTCACGGAACTAACTGAAAACATTAAATTCATAAATTTCTTCAGGGCGAGGTCGACACGATCAGTGAATGAATGAATCATGAATAATAACACATAAAAAATAAAGGTTTCCAGTCTATATAAACAAATATTCGTGAAAGTTCCGAGAATTTCATTTAATTTCGTTCTCGATAGACCAATCGTAGTCACCGTATTCACCACTACAGTTTAAATCAAAGTGTCCACTACAAGGACCTGTGACCCATGTGACACAGTTTGTTACACATTGAGGAAATATAAAACTCGTTTAGTTTTAAAGCCGAATGTTCAACGAGTTTAAATATAATAATCATTCGATAGGAACGTACCTTCAGGAAATTATACATTTTATGTATAGTGTAAAACTTTAAAAATTAAATATGTATTATTGTAAATTAAATGGTGATTTACTGAAGGTCTTCGATGCAACAAACTGAGAGTAAAACAGACGATAGGTATATATTACAACGATGTCATGATTAAAGTTGCTCCAAGTATTCACTGAATTATCATGTACTCGTATATTAATGTGACTTCAGTACACTGACGTTAAATGCAATATTAAATAGATATTTTATTGTTAGATTAAAATATATGAAAGGAAGTTGTGAAGGCACACTTTTCTATAGTATGAATATAATTTTTTTTAGTAATTTTTTTATTAGACTGTGATTTACCTTTATCTATATTGCTATACTCATGTTTGTATTCCATGTGTCATGGTACTCCTAGTATCTGTTTGTATGATGTAATTTTTATTGTTTAATGTTTTTGTTTTATTTAATAAATATTTTTAAATGCTTCATTAGAAGTACCAACTGCTTCAAAATTAACAACATTAACCTACTTCTAAATTAAACTTCTCTGTAGCGGTCGTTTTTACATTCAACACTACCATTTCATTGTGAACAATTAATTGTATCGTTTAAAATTAATTATTATAATACAGTTTCAATATTTCAAAGTTGATACACATTTTGAATAATAACAGTTTTAGTTGTTTTACGAAACTTAAATTTAATTATTTGTTTTATAATATCGTGCATTTGATATTATTGTAATACATATTCTTGTTTTATTCGTATTGTTCTAAAAATAAAATTAACTTTCGTTATCTATTTACAAGTTAATATGTTGTAAGTTACATGACAGAGAGAACGGTCCGAAATATAAGAATACAATGTGGAGTAGGAATGAGAGTCATTAGGATTCAATAAACGTACAGTCACTGGGAAAAAATATAGTTTATTATGCTTTGAAAAGAAGAATACTTACCAGAGAAGGCTTTTACAGCTTTGAATGAGTGTGTTTAATTATTTGTGTACATTTGAAGTTATGAAGGAATAGAAACGGAGTCAGAAATAAATCAATTTATGTTCTTGTGAGATGTAACATTGACTTTGATAACTTCCTCAGTTTGAGAGGAACAATACTAAGAAAGAGGCCTTAGGGAACGTACGGCGTGGGGTTATAGAGGACCTATAGGAAAGATTGTCTTAGGAAACATTCATATTCTTTTAGGAACATGCTAACACTAACACAAGAGACTAATATATAACAATATACAAGGTATACTGTAATTGTTTTTACTGTAATAATTTGGTAACAATATTTATTATTTTAAATGTTATTAAGTTCTTCGGCTAGCTGAGTGTTTTTTTATTATTCAATGTTAACATTTTCTTGACGTTTAGATTACTTTTCCTCGCGTGTGACAACGGTTGATGAAAATAAAAGTAATATAATAAAAAACGGGTTGCTATCGGAAAAATTTAGTTTAATTTAAAATGTGTACTCGCTAAAATCTTAGCTATGATTTGTGGTTTTGCTATACTTGTCCTATTAATGGTAGAGGCAAAGTGATTCATATAACAAACTTCCTTACTATGATTATTTTATAAGTACATTAGAATCGATTTTGCTTCTAATATTAAAATTTTGGTCGAAAGCAAAGATGTCATATGACGTCAGATGTGTTTAATATATATTGAATTTACACTTAATACGTATCCTCATTAGTTTCTATTTCTGTTAAAAGCTGCAGAAATATATTAAACTTACACTGAAACATCGGGCATATGACATTAAA